CTATGTCAGGTGCAGGCTCATTGGCACTGAGCCGATGGTACCACCCTGCAGCCATCATGCCAGCACCTCCAGAACCCACCCCTCCACTCCAAGCCCTGTCCCATCACATGTGCCTCCCTGGCACCCCCAATTCTGTCTGTCTCTGTGGATCTGAATACTCTGGGGACCCTAGAGGAATGGGCTCCTACAATATTTGTCTTCTTTTTCCTTTATGAGAGATGAGGAGAGAAACATCATGACCGACGGCCCCACCCCTGCCTCCCGAGTAGCTCCGATTACGGGGGCGGGAGCTGTCCCCACTGTGCAGGGTTGGCCCGGGGACTGAGTGGCGTCCCATCTAGCTTCCTGTGTCCTTTGTGTGTTTTGCCGTGTTGTGGCTGGCTTCTTTCTTTTTTTTCAGAGTCTTTTGCTCCAGGGCATGTACGCTTGCCAGAGAGACAGAGAAACAGAATGAGAAATCACCCCTGAGGGAATGGCCACACCACAATCCTTTCCCCTCCATTCCACTCTTGGGATTTGGGGCATGCAAACACACGTTCCTGGCATGAGTTTTAGGCTGCCGAATCTGGGGCTTGAACCATGGTTGAGTCTGTGAGAGGCCAGCAATGCAACCATTACACCATCTGCTGGTGCTATGGCTGGCTTCTTTTACTCAGCACCATGTCCTAGGCTTGTCCACGCTGTGGCACATGTCGGAATTCCTTCCTGTTTGAAGCTGAGCAGCACTGACTCTCGCTCAGCCACCGTGTGCAGGTAGACAGGGTCGTCTCCTCTCTTCCTTTATTCAGCAGAGCATGCGTGTGCACAGGGGAGACTGGGAGCGGGAGGAGAGCACCTTGCACAGGGCCCGGACACGCCATGGTCCCCTCCCTCCCGTCTCTAGCCCCCCGGATCCTGGACATTTGAGCATGTGGCTGGCAGGTTTCACGCTGACCGAGACAGGGGTTGGAACCTCAGTTGCCACGTGGGATCCCGTCCTCTTGAGCTGTGCTTTACCGCCGTGTGAGGGATCAGCACTGCTGCGGACATGGGTGCACAGGGGCTCTCCTGTCATGCCCTCCTTCCCGGGGGCTAGACCCGGAGGTGGTGATGCCCCTCAGCCCTGAGGAGCCTGCAGCCCACACACCGCTCCTGGTCACGGCGCGCTGGCGGTGCTCCGGGCTCCGATGTCCCCACACCCTCAGCCACGCTTGTTCCCTGCCCTTCTTAACAGCTGTGTGTGGTCGTTGGTCACATCCTGGGCCCCTTTGAGCAGACTCCAGGTCTGTCACAGATGCCATGGCCATGCTCATCCCTGTTCCTGCGTGTCACACGTGTGTCACACACTGCTGGGCGTGGCTGAGCCGGGACTGAGCCTGTGCGTGTCTCCCCATACAGCTTCTGCCTGTGTTTGAACAGAGCCCGGAACAATGCCAGGACGCTGGAGACCCCAGAGACGGGCGGTCCCCAAGACGGCTGGGACGGGCGCCCCCTGCTGCCTGCCACTTCCTCCCCGAGCCCCCCGCCCCAGGCGCTGTGCATCTACCTGGACCCCCGGGAGGCCGAGCTCCTCGGCATGTCCGGCCCACTGCAGCTGCAGCACAAGCAGGCCCTGCTGCAGGCGCTGGAGAGCACGGCCCACGCCCTCCAGCAGCGGATCGACAGGCTGACCGCCCAGCTGCACGGGTCTGTGGCGCCGGCCGCTGCTGGGGACCTGGACTTGGACTTGCCGCCCGCGCGCCCCAGCACTGTGCCTGCCAGGCGCCCGCTCACAGCGCCATCTTGCCCCACAGCCTTGGTGCCCAGTGGGGGCCCAGGGGTACCCCAGGCCTGGGTGGGCATGAAGGCCAGGCCCCGCCTCTTCCCCTCCTACTTCCTGAACGATGAGCTACCGTCCAGCAGCCTCCGCTGGGAGCGGCAAAAGAGTGAGAGCCTGAGGGCCCCAGGTAGGGCTGGCGCCCAGGCTGCAGGTGACCCGGTCCCACTGGGAGGTCAAGGGGGCCCTGGGCTAAGAACAACGGGACCCGGTTTCTCTCTGTCTCTCATTTCCTCTTCAGAAAAGGGGGTCCGAGAGCAATAGTGCGGCTTTTCCATGCAGCGAGGGTGAGCACGCTGGCTCTCCTGCACGGGATGTGGCCAGCACGTGTCCTCGCCCTCCAGCTGCAGGGCAGTGAGGCTGCCTCTGTGCCGCGCACCTGCTACCTGACCCCGGCCCACAGGGCTCGCAGACTCATGCCACCCACGGCCATGACACCCTGCGACACAGTCCTGCTTCCCTCCCCTGCCAGCCCTGCTGTGGCCTTGGGGAATGAAGCCTGACGCCCCTTTCCCAAAGGCTTCCTGGAGGAGGAAAGTTTGGAGCAGAAGAGGCTGCAGAGGAAGGCGGCTGCCCTTCGCGCCCTCGGTACCTGTACGGGGAGGTGAGCCACGGCCCTGGCCGCAGTGCCGTGAGCATGTCCCGCGGGCTGCAGGCTCACTGGCTGGTGGGGAGCCGCCTCCGGAGGTCCTCTGTCCACCCAGGCCCTGAGGCCCTGGTCTGAGTTCTCAGGTCCCCAGAGTAGGCCGGGGCCTTCTCTGGGGTCATGTCACACGGGTGCATTTGCAGTCCACCCCCCCCAGACGCTGGACCTGCGGTGGGCCCAGGCATCTTGGAGAACCACCAGCCCGGCTCCAGCCCCCACGGGTCCTCCATAATCCCCAGGCCACAGCTCGGCACCGAGAGGCTTTGTTCGCGGGGGGCTCAGCTTGGAGACCTACCTAGACGCGTGTGCCAGGCCCCCTACACTCGCCCATTGCTCCCTCGCTGAGCCCGAGCTCTGCAGCAGCTGCGGCTTCAGGGGACCCTCCCAGGATTGCTGGCGGTGTCTGGGGCCCTCTCCCAAGAGGTGCCCTGCACTAGTCAGAAAGTGTCCCTCCAACCCTATTCTTGGGGAGGCCCTCAGGCCGCTGGGCCCCTGCTACCCTGTCCTCGGCTGAAGCACCCGAGGCAGCAGACCCCAGCCTGGCCCGACCAGCCCTGTCCAGACAGCCCAGGACCCAGGCTTGAAAACTCAGAGCCAAGGCTGGAAAGCCAGGGCAGGAGTTCTCAGAAGGAGGCCAGGCACTGTTTCGGCACTCACCTTTCTTAGCGTCAGGGTGCAGCCAGAGGCTACCAGGAGCTCCCGTGCATCCGCTCGGTCCCCAGATGGCAGGGACCATGTCACACTACCTACCTCGGCTTGGTGGTCCCGGGCGCAAGGTCCATTTGAGGCAAGATGCCCCATTTGTTAACAGAGAGAGCAGGGTGGCCAGTGCGTGTGACCCCAAGGATGCTGCCCAGTCTGAGGTGCCCCTGTGTCTGGGCAGAGGGTTCTGACATGCACTGCTCCATGAGGCGTGTCAGAGCAGCCGAGGGGCTTGGGCTCAATCCCAGCTCTGTCACAGAGCTGGTGACCTCGAGCATAGTCACCCTGAGCCTAGGAAGTGGGGTGCAATGTGTGCCCAGCTAGAAGTGGGCGGTGCCCACGCGGCTCAGCTCTCCCCCCCGCCCACCTTCTCCGCCCTCT